GCGTTTCCAGGAGGCTAATCAGTACCGATGACCAAAAATATTGAAGTGTAAGGTCATCCATCCACAAACATTTAGATGATCAGAGGCTGTTTATCAGAGATGGACGTAGCCACCTAAAGCATGAAGCTGAACGTTTTCACCAAGTCGGTGTTTTGAAACCGGATAGTTTAACATCGGTCTGGACACCAGTTTACAAAATGAACATCATGTGTTAAATCCCATTTCAGATTAATGTTCAGGCCATCGAGTCGTTGGGGAAGTCTGAAGTCACGACAGTATGAGAGCAGTCGCCCCCTGCTGGACATTATACGGTGCATCTTTTATGCTAGTCTGTGGCAGCGGCTGACGAGATCTGTTAGAAATGTGTGAGTGTGCTTTTTGTAGTTCTGTAGCAGAGCTTGTGCAATTTTTAAAGAGTTTATTTGATTTTAATTTATTTTGTTCAGATTAAACTGACGCCCAGAGTGTCAGAGACTAATGCTGCATGTTTGACTGGCCTCACTAACACGCACACAAACATGTAAATACACACAAATATGACCAAGAAATTAGTGTAACACACACAGGCCTCGGTCTTTGCACTGGCAGTGTGAACTCAAAGCAATACTAAACAGAGCCGTACAAGTAGCTACACATTGCAGAGCAACAGCAGCGGCTAATCTGGGTGTGTGTACTTTCCAGCTGTAACAAATACATCAACGTTCAACTCGATGGGGTGTCGACGCTTCCCTGTTCCTTCTGTTTGTTTCTAAAAAGACTGATGACGATGATGATGTGGTATATTTAACAAGCTCACTTATTTTTATAAATAATGTTGATGAACTGAACTGTGGACACCCGTCTCCTCACATTCGTCCTCTCGACACCACTTTTTTCTTTAACTTTCGTCGTCCTTGCTTTTCATCGTCCACGTGTCCTTCATCCATTTGCATGAGTCTGACTTGAATTGATGTCTATGCAAACTCATCTCTGTGCGGTTCAGCGCTGAACCCTGCGTGGGTTCACGCGGACGCCGTGCTGGTAACGTGCAGCTGAAGTGAAAGGGCTACAGCAGACTACGGCTCTGACTGGCAACGCACCCACCCTGAAGAGTAACTGACAGACTCTGGTACTCTGAATGATGTCTGGAGCAAGGTTATTATCGTTAACGAAAACTACCGAAATAACGAAAACTAGAAGTGAAAAAACATTTTTGTTAACGGAAATAAAAATAAAAACAAAAAAAGGAAAACTAACTAAAACTGTAATGAGTGTTCACAGAACTAACTAAAATTAACTGAATTTATAGCAAAAATGTGTTTAGTTTCATTGATGTGTGCGTGTCCTACAATAGTCGAGGGTGAAAATGAAGTTTAGTTTCCAGATTTTGTTCTGCTGTGTCTCATTGTGCCAGCAGGTGGCAGCACGTTAGTCGAGTCGTCTGTGTCGCTGCTCCGTCCACGCGCAGAATCATGTCAGGAAAAGTCGGGAGAAAGCGCCAGAGTCCAATTTGGGATTACTTTGAATATGACTGTGTTTTGGATAAAGCAAGTGTCTTGTAGTGGAAAGAGACAAATTATGAGGGACATTTCTAAAGGGGAAAAAATCCCACAAACCCTAAAGTGCACTTGAAAAGCTCACACAAGAAGGCTAACCTAGCTTACCTTGAGAAGGGAGCACACTCAACCCT